AAAAAATTCACACCGGTCTAATGTAGAGCCATTAACACTTCACAGTAAGGGGGCAAAGTATGTATTATCATTTACCTGGGCAGGACAGATTTTTTTGTAGGTGTCTTTAATAACAGTCTTTCACGATGTGTCAACCGTTACACATACCATACACTATTAATGGCACATTTTTATTACTTTATTTTTTTTGCTTAAAAAGAGTCTTAACAATAAATAAATATAAAATAGCAGACATAAAATTTCTGAAAAAGTAATATTTAATTGGTGGTGGTAGTGGTTGTTAAATCTTCTTAGTAAGAGGAATGTGCGAAATGATGGCAGCCGTCTAACTTTAATGTAGATCCATCTACCATGGCATCTGAGTGCCTTCCGTGTAAAATCGATAGCAACACTGAAGAATAATGGCATTCCCGTCTCACGGTGAACATTCTGCATGGGGTGGGGCTTACTGGTTAGAAGGGGTGTCAGTGTTGTGAGCGTCTTTTATAGTAGACTAATCTAAAAGGGCCTTTCTGTGTCAGTTGAAGAAGCTAAGCTGTAGCACAGCAGTAAGGAGAATCATAAACACTTTTCACCCTGAAATATGGAAATCCTGACTGCTTAATGGAGTGAAATCCTGACTCCATTGAAATCAGTGGCAAAACTCTCATTAACATGAAAGGGGCTAGGATTTTGTCCATTGACCTACATCACAAAGTTTTAGCATCACGTTAATTTTGTTAACAATAGAATTCCACTTTAACATAACTATAAGAGAGAGAGAGAGAAACTCTAAACTTGCTCTCTAAGACCAACATAAGGAAGTACTCTTAGTTGTCTATGCCATTCCAAAATGAATCCAGGGAGCACCATCTATGAAATACAAGACAAGGGCAGTTGAGGAGAAAATGAAAGAATTCAGCTGGATTGTATCTTGAACATTCTCATCAGTGTTCAGAATCTCTAGAGGTTGGTTTGTTTGTTTGTTTTCTCCAAGTGTCCTGGATGCAGAGGAAAAATTATTTAAAAAAACAACAACGGAACTATTAATGATTCAGTATCTGCCTTATTTTCTGTCAAGCAGTGTCATATCTATTCTAAAAACCTAGCCTGCAAGAACTACAGATCCTTCTTTAAAAATTTCCTCTGCAAATAATCCTCTCTCTTTATAAAGTAAATACCTTATTGTGCTGTAGAGATAATGCCTTGCAATATTAGGTGCCTCAGCAGTTTGAAGTAGTAATGGCTTCTGCTTTCCACCTTTTCAAAATAACTTCAAAGGTATTGACCGCTCAGACAAGACTTTACTATGTCACTTTCATTTATTTTAGGTTCTTTTTCAGCCTGGGCAACTGTACCTTTAGACTTGTTCAGGAAACAGCCTTCTGGACAACAAAGCTTTGCACTGAAGAGCAGGTCCAGCAGCCATAGCCCTGTGTTAGGATCGGTCACTGCAGAGGTATCACATTCTTATGTTTATGGTTGACTTTTTGACTGTCAGATTGTCCATTTTAAGAATACAGGCCCAATACACTATTGCCAAGCATGTTTTGTAACAATTTACAGAAGTGCCAACTGAGTGTGGTGCTACTTAATCAAAATGGTAGTGTTGTGAACTCGCTTTGTACTTGCGTAAGTGACTGCATAAGGTGCAGGGTAACAGTGAATCATACCCTACCTACTTAAAGCAAAAGCTGTGACTGTTATGGACAAAGCTTTAAGGAATAATTTGAGTCTTCTAAGGGCTTGTCTACACGAACACTTAGTTCATGGCAAGCTGGGATGTCAATCTGCCCCACACTACCCTGGTGCATGCTTAAAGGTCTGTGGGCACCTTGCTAACATGCACTAACAGTTCATCAGTGTGCTTTGATCTAGTCCACTCTACAATTCCAGCTGCTGTTTCAAAGTGTCTCTCTTTCCTTTTAAGGTGTAATTATTACTTTAATTACCAATGTTTCTCTTTTTAGTTCTCTTATGTAGAACCTAATGAGTCAAAATCCTGGCAAGTTCCTGCTCCGCTTCCTGCCACAAAAATAGAAAAGGATCGAACCGTGATGCCTTGTGGGACTGTAGTCACTACTGTCACTGCTGTGAAAACCAAACCTCGACTTGAAGGGAAACATTCTGCACTGAGCCCAGGTGAAGACATCAGTGAAACTTTAAAATGCAAATCCAAGATTGTTTGTGCTGGTTTTTAGGAGTATAGTTCCCATGGTGGACGGGGAAAGAAAAAAAGAACATTGTCTAGATCCATTTTAAGTGTTGGTTGGTTTTGTTTTTAATGTGGTCCTGGTTACTTTGGATAAAATATTTCTTTTGCATGAAGCCAGATCCTACCCCACTGAAGTCAATGGAAGTCTTGCCAATGACTTCAGTGGGAGCAGAATCAGCCTCCTGGTAAGTAAGGTGAGAAATGATCATGACTTCCTTTGCTTGGTACTGTGAATGTTGGGTGTCTCTCTTTGGTGAGGTTGGGTTTTTGTGTGTGTGTTTAGTATTCCCTTTGAAAACATGAATCTCAAAGAGTAGGGTAGAGTAGATAGTATGATGCTGCTATTAATGTATAAATCCATTGCATTTGGGGTGTTTCTTACACCCTGTCAAGGTGATCATCTGTCTGCCCCTGTGGAAAAAATGGCACATGACCCTCTAAAAACACACAACAAGCTGCTAATGTAGGCGCTCTTATGAGATGTCAGATTGTTTGTGATGTATAGAAAACTTGAAAAAAAATAGACCAAGTGCAAAAGATACAGGACAGCATTACCAGAACAGAAATTGGGTAACTTGCTTTAACATGCATAATGCTTTCTTGAAGTATATTACTTCTGTTGTCAGTCACGTGGGGGAAGGGAAGAAATGTGGAGTCACCCACTTTTCTTCCACCCTCTTTATCCCTCCCACATCCCCGTAGGCATACATACCCACGAGAGAGGATATAAGTAAACCATATTACCTATATGGAAAATGCATTGCTTTAAAACTATTAACTTCTGATTTCTGTATTTCTTGACCTGTTTATCTCCTCTGCCCCCAACTCTTTAGTATAGATTGGTGTTGTTCTAAGCTACCATTCACACCTGACCAGGATTCCTGACAGGGATCTTCCTTAGTAAACAGTTTGATTACTGACGTAACCCGAGGTTGTGAGGCACCTTGCTACTCCCTGCCTTTAGTATGAAGAAGCCTTGACTGTGCCAGGGAAGGGGTAGGGACGGTTTTATGGCCTGCAGCATGCAGGGGGTCAGACCAGATGATCATAATGGTCCCTTCTGACCTTAAAGTCTATGAGTCTATGAGTGCCTGCCGGGAGTCAGCTTCCTAACTCTGCTGGCCACGGGCAACATAAGCCCTCCCCTCTAGGCCTTACAGGCACTGCTGGTACTCTGCTGATTAGCGATAGGCACAGTCCAATCCCTGAACTCTCTGAGTGTCTCCCTGGAGTGGCCAGCCCCTGGTCCACTGGTCATTTGCAGTATGCACAAATCCATTTCTCCCA